TCTTCGCACGTGTGCTTCCAGAACCTAAACCACTTACCCAATTCCGTGTCGTTGTAGCCTGAAATCTGCACTTTGATGTGGAACAAACCTCGGAGACGGATTCCCAGCCAATCGTCCAGAATCGAGTCTCAAAGTGACCTCCTTGATCACACATCATGCCTTAGCCAAATCTGCCAGGAATTCCAGTTCTGCCATACACTTTTGGATCGCCTTGAAAATGGTCTTCTGAACTTGAAACTGAGCTTCGAAGCGTACCATCATGTAGAAAAGCATCTCATGTTCAAAAAAAAAAAACCCATCAAGCTCCCACTTTCATCAAGCCATGCGTGCCGAACAAACTCACAAAGTACCCTACCTGAAACCAGTAAAGGACTTATCCAATTTTGATGGTCTCGTTCCTTGATAAACTTTTGTTTCAATGCACTGTAGCTTATAGGGGGGTGTAATTGAGATCATATCAGGCCCCCTATCTTGAAAAAGTGTTGCCCTCAACACTTCAACCTTCCTCTGCTCAAATCGGGCACAAAACTGAGCCCAGATTGGATCGAAAGTTGCCTGCCATAACTCTCTTTGCAGCCAGATGAGGTCAACATTGTTCTTGAAGACAAAAAATGGGGCTTTCGAATCAACGCATGCCCACCTGAATTCTCTTGGTCCGAGATCTTCGCCATACTCCAAATCGTCGTCCTGGATAGGTCGGCTGGCTCGATTCATCATTATCGCCTTCGAATTGATCCGATCGTTTTTCCCGCCAACGTCAACCTTCAAAAACGAAGAACCCAGAATTGTTGATGTCGAATTGGGCGTTTGCTCAGTGGGTATCTCCAGGTTGAATTGATCACTTACACACATTCAGGGGATCATCAGCAACTGTCCTGCACCGGCCCCTTGCGTCGAATCATCGTCGTTCATTCCACCCAATAGACCCGATTTTTGTTCGTAGTTTCCCGTTTCCAGACAAGTTTAACGCAAATTGGATCCATCAATCCCGCATCAATCGACTCAATCCAAACAGGGGTGGAGCTTCCCAGGGTGTCGTGGATTGAATCGATGTTCTTGGTCAGGTTCAAGGTGGCCTCGAATGCTCCAACCCATTTTCCCTCTCTCAGACTCTGCTTCTTCGACCTCCTGCAGGGGCAACGACGCCACGGCGCCCTTACCCTCTTGAAACCAGTGAGCATGAACCTTCGGGTTAAGAGCATGCTGCCTCGATTTATCGTCGAGACCCATCGAATCAGATCCTCCTTTCAATCTTCGATGACTTGCTTCCAATTGTTGCTGGTTTTCTCGAGCCTCTGCTGGTGTTAATGGTTTCAACATGATACTCTTTCCACCATGCTGAACTTTATAATAGTTGGTGTCGCCATAATGACAGACGCCTCTGTCAAATTGCCAAGGGCGGCCCAAAAGAAGATGGGTGGCTTGCATTGGCACGACATCAAACTTCATCTCGTCCTTGTACTCTCCAATTTCAAATTCCAGAAGAGCTTGCCGCTGAACTTTGATCACACCATATTCGTTTAACCAATGTAAGTTATATGGCTCTGGATGCCGAGTTGTGGTCAATCCCAACATGCGAACAAAGTCCTCGCTAACAATGTTAGCACGACTACCGCCATCGACGATTACAAATAGCAATTGCCCCTTGACACAGCAACGAGTCTGAAAAGGGTTTTTGCGTTGGTCTGCCTCAGGATGGCTTGTAGTTGTTAGTGCCCTTTGATTGACAGCAAACAACTTGCCCGGTGGCGGAGGGATTTCAGCATGGATTTCTTCGTCGATCTTGTCCCCATCAGAATCACTTAAAGTTTTCACCGGGGCTTCCTCCTCCTCTTCAGAATAGTAATCCCCATCCCTAAGCACTAGTGCCTTTCGATTTGGGCATTGATTCGCCTTGTGCCCACGGCCAAAGTATTTAAAGCACTGGATTTAAGCACTAGAACCCTCATTCTTGGCTGGGGTATTGCGAGCTGCTGGCTTCTCGATCTCAGCTCGTAATGGGTTAAAACCAGAGCTGGGAACTGTGCCTGAGCTGGCCTTGCTAGCAGATTGAAATCGTCTACTAGTGGCGACCTTGAGCTGCCTTTCCCCTTTGATGGCTAAGTGAACAAATTCCTCTAGTTCAACGAAAGCTCGCAGCTCAACCTCCTGGCGAATCTCGCGGTTTAAGCCATGAAGAAAACGCGCAATTGTCGCCTCTCGATCTTCTTGGATATCGGCGCGCATCATGAGTAATTCAAACTCACGATAGTAGTCTTCAACGGAACAGACACCTTGCCTTAATCCTTGCAACGTCTCATGTAAGTCCCGCTGATAATAACCAGGAAAAAATCGGTCGCGCATAAGACCTCGCAACTCCGTACAAGTGGTCACCTCTGGCTGGAGGTTTTGTCGACTTCGGAGCTGGGTCTTTTCCCACCACTATACTGCATAGTCAGTGAACTCATAGGTGACGTGGGTCACCTTCTGATGCTCTGAGTATTCCCCGCATTGAAAGAACAAGGTAATCTTACGCTCCCAGTCCAAATACATGGAGGCGTTGTTCGTACCAGAAAATGACAACACTTGCAGTTTAATGCCTCTTAGCTCGGCTACATTGTGCCCTTGTCCTGCTCCTGATGGCGACAACTCGAGATTTCCCTAAATTTGATTTCGTTCAGGTACCTCATCTTCCCCTGCAACATCCCTCGGCTGAATAGGGATGTTTACAGTTGTTCGAATTTTGGCCAATTGCTGGTTCAGATTGTCGAGCTAGTTTGAATCGTAGCGTTCTATTGTGCTAGAATCGTCCGCAGCAACTCCGCGAGACCAGCCTGCTCCGCCATGGCAGGACCTTCATCAATCCCAACCCTATTCTCTGTAACAAATTTCTTCTTCTTCCCCTGTGATGTTATCAGAACAGCAGCTAGCTCACAATCCGTTGGATCCTTTGATCTGGTCCACCTTGTTGGACCAGCGCCGCCTTCCGTTGACGATGTTATGAATGCCACTGAGTAGAAATGGATTCTGATTACCACTTGATAAGTCCCAAATCTCGAGCTAAGCTTTTGGTTGACCGGATTTGGGGCTCGTATGAACAAAAACAGGGAATTGGTAGGATGGAGATCAATCGTGCAACTTCGCGCCAAGAATTGGGAAGGGGCTCGATCGATTAAGGTCGCAACTCGCCCACAATTGAGGTGATTACTCAATTGATGCAGAGCTCGCTTGATTGATGGAATCCAATCCACGCAAACAAGGACAATTCACGAGATCAAACTCAATGAACAAAAGTAATCTTTGAATAAAACTGGAATTCAATTACAATGCTCTCGCCTCTTAAATAAACTCTAGCTAGGTGTATCTAATAAAGAAAAGAAATCCTACAACGATTAGAGCTTCTGAGACGATTTGAGGGAGCATGCTAGCCAACCGTTCAGCCATGATCTTGGTAATCACTTTGTAAACAAACTGGCAGAGACTAATCGAGCGCAATTGTCTAATTGTTTCCACCGAGTCCACTTTAGGGATCAAAGTGAGCCAAGTATGGTTAAAACTTCGCAGCATCCGACTCGAGGTAAAGAAGGAAATTACCGCCTCAACCACTGAAGTGCCCACAATATCCCAGAAAGCTTTAAAGAACTTCCCTGTGAAGCCATCTGATCCCGGGGCCTGTTTCGAACCCATGGAAAAGACCATACTCCGGACCTCGCTAGGCGAAACCTCCACCGTCAATTGCGCATTCATTTGAGGAGTAACACTATGGGCAATTGGCAGAATTTCCACCCTCTCAGCCATATTAGGAACCTGATTTTTCGAGGTAAACAAGGTCTGGTAAAAGTTGGTGACAATAGAAGCCTTCCTGGTTTCCTCAGTGACCCATTCACCATCGTCATTTCGAAGGCCGGAAACGAAATTCCTCTTTCGCCGAGCCCTCGTGACCGTATGGAAGTAGGCAGAATCTTGATCTCCTTTTTTTAACCATTTAACCCTAGATTTTTGCTGCTAGAATATCTCCTCCGCTTCTCACTGGCGGGAAAGCTCCGTTTCCAGGGTCCTGATCTCATCCCAATCCACCGGATGGATCGACTTTATCCTGTCAATCTCAGCTTGGAGCGTCTTGATATTATGCAGGGAATTAGTTGTGCCCGCCCTACTCCAATCATATAGCAGATGACGGAGTTTCTTCAGGCTCTCCCACAGTCAAAACATAGGGGTGCCTTGGATCTCCTCCTGCCAGACATAGTTGACCATGGCCCTTACCTCCGAATTATCCGCCCAATGGGCATTAAAATGGAAAAGGGGTCGACAAGTACGAACATATGGTTTATCAGCAAGGAGAAGGGCACGATAATCTGATCCCTGGTCCGTGAAGTGCTTGACTAAAGTCTCCGGGTAAGTATCAATCCAGGACTGAGAGCAAATCTCTCTATCCAAACATGCACGAATGCAAGCATCGCCCATGCGTTTATTTGTCCAAGTAAATTGATCCCCTTGGTAACCAGTGTCATGGAGACCCAAATCATGAACAAATTCACGGAGACTAAAGGCTTGGGCAGCATTCCATGTCCGTCCCCCATCTTTTTCACTCTCATGAAGCGTAGCATTGAAATCGCCTATGACTACATAAGAGTGGTTGATATTCGCACACACGTTCCGCAAATGAGCCAATTGGGTAGCTCGAATAGCAATGTTATAGCTAATATAAACAAAGACCACCACATAAGAAAAATCTCCTTCATTAATAAGCGAACAAACATAGAAATTTGAATGACAAAACACCGAAGTGTCAACTCCGGGGGCCCAAGAAACTACTAAACCACCCGATGCATCGACTGCATCTACAAAAAAACAATGAGAAAGAGCAAAACCTAGACCCCGCATACGGTGGGACACTACACGCCGACTCGATCGCGTCTCCGGGAAAAACACGAGATCCGGTTTATTGGAATGAACAAGCCCTAAAGCAGATTGGAAAGTGAGGGACGGCCCAATTCCTCTCACATTCCAGGCGAGAAGCCTCATTTATCCTCCTGGGGCCACTCAAGGCTGGCTTCATCCACCTTATCCAGAACATCAAGCGATTCCACAAACTGTTTCTTTGGGGTAGGAGGGTTACCCACATCCCCCTCCAACTCATCAAGCACACGTTTCCGATTCTCCATGATAGGGTCCATCATACTAGACCCGTATTCATTCAGTCTTGAACTCACTCCCTTGAACACATCATTCTCCTCCATTGCAATAACTAACCCAGATTCAAATGCCTCTACCACTTGGTGAACACGCCCTTTCCTGATATGGCGAGTTTTCCTGGCATCCTCGGCTGGCGACCGTCGCTTGATCTCAAAGGAGTGATGCTCCTCAACTGCCTGATCATCATCAGAGTCAAAGTCATGTTGTTGATCCACATCAGCAGGCTTTTCCAATGTAGCAACAAATTCCTTCTCCTCTACATCCAGCAGATCACCAGAAGGAGTGGAGCCCCCATCCTTGTGGGCCGAGTTAAGAGAACAGTCCGCTCCTCCTTTTCGAAGACGTGGGCGAGCCTTGGGTTTTGTGTCAGGTTTCTCCGCCAGACCAATAGAGGTACGCAGCTTCATAGGGGGGTTAAATCCACCGCCAATGATCTCCTCCTCCTCCTCAAATTCCTCTTGTAAAATCAGCCTGTGCCTCCTTGAGTGTTCGAAAACTTCCTCCATCTGACCCACAACCTGCTGGCAGTGTGAAGCCTGCTTGGCACTGCGGCTAGGCTGCTGGCGCCCCTTAGTGCCCTGCCGAGGAGGAGGTACAACCTTTCTGGGTGATGCCTTCTTCTGCTGTTGTCTCACACTTCCACCAATCTTAACCTGAGGAGACGTTTTGAAGACAAAACGTTTAGGAATAGCCCGACCCCCAAGGGAGTTAGTAGAAGGGGCCTGATGCCTAGTCTGTGTCTCTCTCTTCTTCTGAGCTTCCGACTCTCTTGAGATAGGCAAAGACGCCACTTGTGCTATCGGGCGGGTCTTAGTACCCAGGAATCTGCTAGCAACCTTCTCTGCCCCATCATTGAGCAATTGAGTATTTCTATTAACCCACACTGTTTTGCTGGCATTGCGGAATTGTGGGTAATCTTCATCCTCCCGATAAATCTTCATTCCTGTCTTTCGAGTAGACATGTGAGGTCCAAAGTGTTCCTTGCTAGTAGGAGGGCCAAAAACACATTCCGGTTTCGAGTGCCCTACTCGACCACAGTGGTAGCAGAAGGTTGGCAAAAACTCATATTTGAGATTTACCCAGAAGCTACCAATTTCTTCACTAATCGCCATGAATTGAGACCGCAAAGGCTTGGTTAAATCAATTAGGGCAAGTACTTTCACAAAGTGTTCATCAGTGTCTTTGGCCGAAAAGACATCAGCCTCCAAGACTTGACCAATAATTCCAGCTGCCACTTTCCGGCCATACTGCTTCGTGCAACAATCTTCTTTTACATTCCATAGCTGAACACGAAAAGGAGCAAAGGCCAAATCATCAAAAATAGGCCTTGTGATAGAGGGCGTCCAGGACCGAAGATGGAGAATCCTATCCTTAACAATCCATGGAGATCTTTTTAGCAGCCAAACCCTCATCTCATCACTGGGAAGAATAATTTCAAATAGGCCAAACTTAGTAGCCAAAACCCGAAGGTTTCCTTGCACCCTCCATGTCTCAAGCAACCCCTCCCTCAATTCACTAGCAGTGAAAGTGGTCTCCGAAAATAGTCTCCCCAAGAGAGTCCTCGAAGTACGAAATTTCATCGATTGAACTTCGTCGAGTGAAAATTCAACCACTTGATCCTCCACTACACGAGCCATAGTATGCACCTGCCACAAAGGGGTAAATAAATTTTTAGAGTCGATGAGATTATCCGTAACCGGACTAAAAAAATTACATGTTGGGCCCAACAATGGTAGTCTCAAAGCCCGGCAGAGAGGACAACGGGCTGGCCACAACTAATTGGACCAGATTTTGAGCAAACGGGCCATTATTGTCATCCCCTAAGCCCGGTAGCAGCATGCCTATTTCTCCTCTCCGTCGGACACCAGGCGGAGTAGCCGCCCGCGCCGTCGAGGTCAGGGAGAACTTCAATTCCCAAAGGGCACCCGCCGAGTCGGGGGAGGAAAGAATCCTCAAAATAGAGCTCCTCCAGGGGAACTGGGTAACCACCGAGGCGGACGTGAGGAGGTTCCTCAACCTAAAACAAAAAGGATGGAGTCAGGTGAAGATGCCAATACCTCGAGGCTGTCTTGGAGCGCTGATCAGCTGCTGAAAAGTTCCTCTTCGTGTCTCTCCAGTACTCCCACTGCGCCGAGAAATACACCAAAGTGATGGAGCGATGGCAGGGGTCAATTTATAGATACTAGTGTCCGAGTCCCCTAGTAAGAGGGAAACTCCTCTAACCCGAAGTTCAGATAGAGAACGAGTTGGATTTGGATTAGGAATCCTGGGATGGGGATACGATTTGATCTCCCAGGATCAGATCCGAACCCGCTGATCTCGCCCAACCCAGCGACAAAATCTCCTAAAGATCCATCGACTTCCGCCTTACACAACGGAGATCCCACCCGCCAGCGCTCACTGTCGGCGTCACCAATCCGACCGAGCAAGTTAGTACCGGCGACATTTGTGATGGGATTCATGGATCTTACTTTCACATTCGCCCTGCCTTGCAGGACAGAGCAGTTTTCCTCCCCGAGGGGATTATTCTGACCAACAAATTCACAAGGAATTTTGCTTGATTCAACAATTGGAAAGGGTACGCTACTCTCATCTATCCCCTGTTCTTGTGATACGAGAGTAATCCCCACACCGAAGGGCCCAGAAGCGTTGAATCGGTTGTTGGCTCGATCAATAGTACTAGAACATGTCATCTGACACCAAGAAGGCTTAGTTTTAAACCCCGCGAACGAGGTCACTGCAGAATCTTCATTTTCTAATTCTGACGAGTGCGAAATCCGGAATCGCCATTGAATCCTTGGCCCGGTCCGGCATCTCTTGGTCGGGCGTTCTTCTTCATATTTAATCTCGGCAAAAGCTGTAAGCGGCGATCATTTTTTCAGGCGGAGCCACTTTGCTCGACGCCATGCCATCCCAGTCAAACCCCTTTTAGAAGCAGGGGTCACCGGTTCCAGGGGATTTCCCCCTACCCTGATGTTGAACGGGATCTCTTTCCATCCAGTCTCCAGCAAACTGTTTCGACGCAAAGAAGGCGAAGGCGGAGACCAGAGCTTCTGGTTATTCAGACTGGCCTTGAAGAAGGCGACAACGGCTTGCAATATCCACCGACGAAGAAACGAGCAAAAAAGCAGGAGAGAGGAGAGAGCCCCTCTCATTCCAGATTTTTTTTTCTAATCGTGTCTCGTCTTTTGAGCACCGGGGAATATGGGTTGCTTATGGATTGAGGAATGAAATATTTTTGTGTGCATTATTATGTCACCCAATATTCTTATTCTTTACAGTTTTCAAGGGTCGCATATATAGGTATAACTTACCTAACTAACCTAACATTAAAGCATTGAAAGTTCTGTAGAGCAATGATGATCAGTTGATCACTTCTCTTTTTCCTTTGCACTTAGGTTGTTGAAATGAATGTTAAAGTTCAAGATCCCGGAAAAGATAATGTACACAAAAATGCATTCTACACAGAAGAGGAACTTCTCAGGACTGAATTGCAGGCAATGCGTGACTGCAATCCTCTCTCGGCCTGCCATTGGATTGCGAGTAATAAAAAACATGATCAAATCACCTTTCAATTTTTGATCATTTTTGCTTGCTCCTGATCCTAGTTCATGACATGTTGACCAGATTAGGAACACAAGAACTGTGAACCGAACCAGACAACTCATAGGTTACAAACTAGTACCTGGATCAAACTGCCTGCCATTAGCTGGGTCAGAAGCAAAGTTCCTCAGAAGGGCTGCCTTCTTGAAACATAATCTTTTGGTTACAGCATATTCCCGGGACAAAATGTATCCTGGAGGAGAGTTCCCTAATCAAAACACGCGAGCAGGGGAAGGATTGGCTACTTGGGTCAAGCAGAATAAACCCATTGACCTTTTCCAAATTCTATATAATCAGCGTATGTGTATGTAATCAATAATCTAATCCAGTCGAGATTGTGAATGTTCTCCATCATAATCATAGGATCAGTGGTTCGAAACCTTTCATGAATTAAAGATTTTTTTTCCTCCCCCAACCCAACCACTTCAATATCTTCTTTTCTCGTTCCTCTTCTTCTTCCCCAATATCTCCCTGTATATTTTCTCAGTTTTGATTATCATCTCCGGTCACCAGAATTAAGTTCAGGGGACGCACGATCGTTGCGAAAATGAGCAATCCGCTAGGAGCTTATCCAACACCTCTCTCTTCTCCGCCAAACCCACGACACCAATCCAATCGCTTTCACTCTCATCCAGCAACCCAATTGCCGACCTCGCCGTAATCCCATCCCCATCTCTCTACGTAGGAAACCCCACGTTCTGTAGGCACCCACATCCCACCAGAAACCCCTACCCGTCGGAGCTCGGGTGCGGCGGCCGATCAACGAATTCTCCAACATCCTCTCCCCGACATTAATCGAGACAACCCCAACTCATCCGCGTGAGTGAACCCTTGATTGGAGGAAACTCTGCCTCAAATTTTCCCCCTTTAATTTCTTTTCGATCTTGTCGTATACAGAACGACGATGTGAGGAAATTAATCGCCTAGTATCCCGATTCCGGCAATGGTCGTACCGCACCCTCTGTTTTCCACGACATCCTTTTGTGGTCGTACGCCGTCAACTAATTCCGGTTGACACTTTAGGGTTTTAGGTTATGGTTGTTGGATTAGGACGATGATTGTAAAATTGAGTGTGGTTAATGGGGGTAGTTGTGATGAACTGATGATGAATCGATGATGATGGTCGAAGGGCTTGGGGTACTGGTGGATGAACTTGAAGATCCACATTACAATGGAATTTTATTATCAATTATATAAATCTTCGGGTTCAATAAAACCCTCTAGGAAATAAAGGTATCATACGAGAAAATATAATAGTAATTATTGTTGGGGGACTTCATAGCACGTATAATTATTTAAAGGATTCAATTTGTAATTTAATTCTTAATAAATACATAATTATTAATACAATTAATGACCGCCGTTAGATTAGATCTATGGTGCAAAGCACCTGGAGCATGCTATGCGTCTGGAGCGAGTCTGAACCATATATAGAGAGGTATATAGGGGTTGATTGAATTGCCAAAATCACCACTAACAAGAACGAGCGCTAATATTATAGTAACCCAATGCTCCAACTCCCTTGCATTTGGCTTCCACCCATTATTTCATTCTCGTGCATCCCAAGTAGCAGTAATGAGAATCAATCTCGTAAACCAACCACCATCACCCCGAAAGCAAAGAGCAATAGCCCACTAATTAACCAAAATCTCTACCCCGCTTCACGTGTAACTGTTAAATCCCCATTCGTACCCATGAATCCATGACTTCAATAATTTAGTAATAATGGACATTCTAGCGTGCGGTAGTGAATTACCTCGTACACCCCTCATTGTTGAGGCTCTCCCGGCCGCCAACATCGCTGGCCATTGCGGTGTCGGCTGCAATCGTTTTTAATCGTACATCCCGATCGTGCCGCCACAACTTTCCGATAGGTCGATCACCACCACGGCACCACCCGACCGCCGCCAGCCCCTACCGAGCTCCGCCGCCTCAGCTGCGCCTTGCTTCCTCTTCTCCCCACGATGCAGTACAGATGATGAAGATGTATGGACGGGTGGTGGTGTTTGCTGTGGATCGACTGGTGGAAAAGAAGAAGACCGAGCGGTAGGGTTTTTGGTTTCTTCCTGTGAGATGCCGAATAAGAAGGAGGGGAACGAGCTCCAAAAAGTAACGTTTAGGGATAGGTTAAATTAGAGTTAATTTGGCTTATTTAGAATTAAATAATAGAAATTAGTTTTAAGTATAAAACCCAATGAGCAAACGGTGTTGCTGTAACCAAACCTTCATCCGACTCATTCATTTATTATTGGCCGAACCCAAACCCTAATTAACACTGCCAAAAAATGCTAGCGAAGAGGGGTTTATATGTAGAATCCTCCTAACATTTATGAAAATTCTCCATCCAAACATATGCTCCATTCAAAATTTCGGGAAAGTTAATATGCTAACTTGAAGAATCGTTAGCAGATACTAATTGATATCCAAAATATATGAACTAGTATCCAAGTACTAAAGTATCTAGAGAGCACAGACTAGTATTCAAGGTTTGCTAACTGATATCCAACATGAATAAACTATTATCCCAAATTCACAAACTAATATCTAGACAACACATAATAGTATCCATACAACACATAATTAGTATTCAGATAACACACAAGAGTATCCAAATAACACATAAGAGTATCCATATTGAATACCAGTTGGTTGATTGTGGATATTAGTGGTATCTGCTATCTAAATAATAGTTTGTGATGTTTTGAATACTAGTTTGTGTTATATAGATACTTTAGTAAAATCAGTAGACTTGAATACTAGTTAATACATTTTTTATATTAGATAGTATATACTAACGAATCTTCATGTTAGCAGAATAACTAGACTGCAAAATTTCTAGCTCTAAGAGAGAACTTAGAGAGGATATTTTTGTCACGTGTATTTATTATAAAAAATAAAACAAACTCCACGCATAAACCCTATAAGTGACTATTGCTCTAAAAAAAGTTCTTTCTTAATAATTAAATAATTGACAGGTAAGGGACTATTATTACTCTTCACGTCTCAACTAATTATCACATTTCTATTTGATAAA